TGTTCCGACTGGATTTTGAAAATGTTTTATCGTCGTGCAAGACGAGCGAAGTGGCATGTGTAGACTAGGATCGTCATACAATTCCTGCATTACATTATCAAGACAAGGCGAATACTCTAAATCATCCTTTATTATTTCATCGGCAAGTTGCCAATTATAACTTTACTATAAGATTACCGTGGATCCATGGGCGACCCAACAGTAAATTATAAGAAGTCTCTGCATCGATCACATAGCAGGTGACTTCAGACTTTAAATCTCTGAGTTGACACTTCACCCGGATTTTTCCCAACGGTCTTGACCCGCTAGTATTGAATCCGTAGATAACCGTCCCTGTGGAGGCTAACTTGCTGGCGGGGATTCCGAGATGGTACATCAACCGCAGTGGCATGATGCTAACAGCGGAACCCGGATCGACTTGGATCCGGTTGACAACGCTAGAGCCAATATATCCGGTGAAGTATAGAGGCCTATCATGCTTCGAATTCCTGACTTGCATATCTTCTTTGGTGAAAGCGATGCAAGAAAATTTGGTGGCTGCCAGATTGCAATGCTGCACTGATGACTCTGGCTTTTCAGGAGTTGGCTTGATCTGAGTGAGGAATACTTCAGAATCAGCCAAAGCTTCTTGTAAAGCTTCTCTGGTTTCTTTTGAGAGGCGCAGCAACTCGTACAATGTGATTCTTGCTGGGATATTAGCCAGCTGAGCCATAACGTCGAAACGATATGGTGCATTCGAGCTTTCCGGTTTATCTCGTCCAATCGGTCGGCTGAAACGAGGTTGCTTCGGAATTTGAACCTCTTTATGTTGAGGTTCTTTCTCTTTTTGCTTAGCTGGTTGTTGCGGCTTTTCAGCAGCTACTGGAGGAGTTGTAACTATCCCCAGCTCCTTTAGAGTAGTAGCATTTGAGTTAGAAGTCTCAGGATATTTATACTGGTACTCATTCCCACTTCTTGTAGCGAAAACTTCTTGTTCTCCTTCAGAAAGTGGTAAAGCTGGGATCTCCTCATCATTCTTCTCAGGAATCGCTGAGGCTCCATAACAGGACTTTTCTTTTCCCTTGCCTTTTGACTTTTTCTTCGATGTGGATGTCGTCCACTGTTCATCTTCAAGCAAATCCGGATGAACCCAAAGGATTTCGCCATTGGAGGCTGTGTGAGATACAAGCCCCTTCTGGCGCTGTCCATGAGGGTCATCGTTGATGGTTTGCACCTTGACCTTTGATACTGGCTCGGCTTGAAACCAGGACAAAGGAACCGATCCGAAGCTAATAGAGACCGCGTTTGCGCCTACTTTCTTCTCCTTCGGCTTCGGCGTCACAATACCAACATCAATTAAGGTTTGTATTTTGTCTTTCAAGACATAACGCGTCTTAGTTGGATGGTGGACCCTTCTGTGATATGCACAATATTTCGGGTCATTAATCTTCGTGGCTTCTTCTTGGTTTGTGACCGGTGGAAGCTTGATCTTGTTGTTCTCTAATAAGTATTTGAAGATGACCGGAACTTCATCATCTTTGAATGAGTATTCCTTCGGGAATCTAGGCTCAGAAGTCTTGGGCTGCCTCGGGGGCTGCTGATTCTGATTTGGCGCCAGTTGGAAGGATGACTGCTGCGGTTGTTGTTGCGGTGGCTGTTGTGACGTTTGATGTGCGTCCACAGCTGCCGTGGACCCTCTTCCTCTGCCTTGAGGATTAAAGTTCTACTTTTGGTTATTAGCTGGTGGCAGACCTCTCTCCAGATTCTTTCTCTTGAGAAAACGTTCAGCCTGTTCATCCCTCACTTTCAATTCCTTCCAAGTTTTAGAGGGCACAACCCCCATCACCTCTAACACATCCAGCGACAAGTTATTGTGACACGTTTGCAGAATAAATTCTTCTGTGAGTGGATCCCTACAATTCACTGCTTTGCCCCGGAATCGTTTGACAAAGACGTCGACCGATTCCCCATCTTTCTGCTTCTCATCCAATAACGTGCCAATCGATACCTCCGTGTCGTCATCGAAGAAATTGGTGAGGAATAATTCTTCCATATCTTCCCAGCTAGTGATACTCCCGGGCTTAAGGCGTCGGTACCAATCGAAGGCAGGCCCGCGAAAGGTTCCTACGAATGACCGGACCATCAGGGCTTCGTTCCCGGATATTGCGCCGAGATGCTACTTGAAATAGATCAAGTGCTGAGTTGGTGAACCCCTGCCATCAAAAGGAGTAAAGTTAATCAAATTAAATTTCTGAGGATAAGGAATCAAGTCCCACTCCCTCGGGTACGGGTATGGAATGCCCGTTTTCTTTACTTCTTGGGCCGTCATCAGAGCGTTGACTTTGCTCTCAAGATCGTGCATTTTCTTGTCCTCTCCCTCGCTTTTCTTCAAATAGATCTGTGGAGGTTGAGTGGATGACTTGGTTGGACCACTTCCGGAGTTGTCTTTATCTGGAGGAGGATCTTCAAAGATAGTCTCATCCTCTTCATTACGCCGACTGGATTCCGCTTTCTGGCTCGACTCCGGTTGGTGTTGCTGAACCTGCAAATCTCGCATCTGCTGCATAGTCAACTCCATCTCGGTTTTGAATTCAGCTCTAATTTCCTCGCGTTGTTTAGCTAACGCTTCCTGCAGTATGTGAGACAATTGATCCGGCGTGATTGCAAACGATTCTCTGACTTGTCCCAAACTGGATGCGGTGTCGTCAGAAGCGACAGCAGAACAAGTGTCTGATAATTCTTCATCCAAAGAGAACCCTTCATGCATCCTTTTGTAGTCTCGACGTCGGTTGGCTCTTCGTTGCAATCGCGACATTCTTTGAGAAAGACCCCACTCAACTCTCCCTCCCGGAGAGAAATCAGGGTCATAGTTAACTGACTTTTGTTTTCCTTTATTGGTCATGTTGATAGTGAGTTTTCTCTGACAACCCTCTTTCTTGAGTTATCTTTCTGATAGTACAGCTCATCATTATTGTGATTCGAGCAACCTATCTTTCGCTTTTGAACTTTGTTAACATGCACAGGACGACTGGTCGTCGCCTCTGTGCGATCCAAAGTTAAATTTTTTAATCCACCCCCTTGCGGGTGTGGAGTTTTCAGAGGTCCTAAACGAGAGTGAACTGGTATTCTCTCGTTTTGGACTTGTGCAGTTCTGACAGGAGGGTGTTTACGACCCCCTGCATATGAAACCATTAACGGTTTATTTGCTGGACGTGGATTTTCCTTGACTGGGGCTTTGCCTCGATTGTCAACTGAAGGACCGAGGCGATCCGCCATTGTTATCTTAAACTTGGACAAATCCGGGCTAACCCATGGTTTTACTGCTGATGCAGTAGACGGGCCCGGAACAGATGCTTGCGGCGTCTTCGGCATCCAAACTTTACGATTCTTCGGTGGCTTTTCAGACACTGTCTCTTTCTTGATTCCTTGGACTTGTTGACGAAGAGCACGAGCATGAGCGGCCTTCGCTTTACGCCTTTGTATCCATTCCTTAAGGGTTGAACGGGCCCTTTTGACGAGAGTCCACTCCTCCGTCGTAAGTTGTGCAGAAATATGATTACCTTGCCGTTGAGGCAACTGAATCATTTTCTGCCTTCTCGACTCTAGGTCCGCATAGTAATGGACCCCGTCGGTTTGTTGCATGACTTTAGCCAATTGTCGAGCACGGCGCTGGCGCTGTCTCTGACGAGCTCTCTTCGTCAGCACCGGCGAGCTATTCATCATCGACTCCTGAATGGGTGTGGAGTCATTCGGAGCAGAGATGTTGCAGGTAAATTCTTTAGCAACATCCGGGCAAGAACCTTCACCTGCGGTCTTCATTGACACTGCAGACTTGTGTTGGCCTTCTTGTTTTGATGATGTTTAACAAACAATTTACCACTAATGTTGTTTGTCTAGTA